TATACATTATTCGTTTAAATTTGGCATATTGTAAACATTTGCTTAAAATACATAAGAAATGCATAAACTGTATGCATGTATGACCTTAAATTTAATAAATATTAGCGTCAATTAGAAAACAAAAACAGGAAGGTAAAAATATAAAAATACATTCAATCTACAATTAAAACAAACTTAACAATAAATTTATTTTATTGTAAGAGTGTTCTTAACAATGTGTTTTAACATGTTTAGGTAGCTATTAGCTTAGTTCTTACTTTGAATTGAACATTGATATCTAATTTTTTTTTTCTGTTTTAATGTAACCTATCATTTACGTTTGTATTTTACTTTGAACAAGACTGGAAGTAGATAAATGAAAAACACTATAAGTAGTGAATAGGTCGATTGACAATAATTCATGTGAACATTTTGTCATAATTAAAGTTAAAATAGGTTGATGAACATGTGACTATATGTATAAACTAATAGTAAAATAAGAGATGTGATTTTGAGAGTAAGAATTTTATCAATATTTTCTATATAACAAAATAAATACGAAAAAAAACAAAAATACAAAATGTGGTCATTTCAATTTAGAAATAAAACTTTTATACTGGCCGGAAATAGATTGATAAAAGAAATTCATTTATGTGATCGAATTATCGACCAAATACCAAATTTCACATATTGATCCTTAATGTTTGATTAGCTGGAAAACTACGATTTCATATGACTGACCTTGTTTGTTAGAAGACAGAAGTATTAAACTTTAGTTCTAGTCACTGCACGTGCTATTTATAATCAATAACTGTAAATTAATGTACCAGCTAAAAACTGCAACTCTTCGTCACAACCGGGGTGTCCTCAGCAGTAGGGATCAGAATCAAAACTGTCAAGCACTGGAACCAGTACGAAACTACTGGTTCACACATTCCAACTAGAAATCAGTTGTTTGCATAAATGTATACTGAAAAGTGGACTTGTCCGCATTCAATATCACATGAAAATAGGATTTTTTTTCCATATACATAATGTCAATGAGATTAAAATGGATGACCGGAACTGTCAGGTGGTCAAGCGTGGTAACATGACATACAACACGGTTTATTATGAAATATCCCTTAAGTATAGTGCTATATCTGTTGATCGATCAGGTGATAGAGGTGTTAAAGAAACGAAAATTTCAACTAACATCAACTAAGAATACAAAAATTATATGTAATACTATTAAATTGTAGGCATCTAGAGTGATTGTATATCTTGATATTAAGTGGTGAATGCACGCTGTGAATGTCTGATAATAGAACACAATCATTCAATACAGTAGTGTCATAATGGAGAGGAGAAGATTGGTGATATGGCGTGCGAAGTATTTTCTACAAGCACCCAAAAAATGTGAGGGTTTGTACAGAAGAGGAGCTTAAAACTTGAATATTTATACAGTTAGGTCGACCGTGAATACTAGGAAACAACTTTTAAAAGTATGTGAACTTGACAGTTTAGGACGACCTTAAATATTGACCAATAGAATTAGACTCACAACATAATTTCTTTAGAGTATTTGATGAATATCCGAACAAGCCCCAATGAACCCATCCAACGTCAAATCAGCCTACACGGACCTCCCAATCAATGTTAGCCCAACAACAACTGAAGAGATCAGTATGGCCATCAGACAAATCAAGAGCGGCCAAGCAGTAGGACCAGACAACATTCCAGCAGAGGCAATGAAAACAGATGTAGAAGCAACTGCGAAAATATTTCACATTCTCTTCAACAAGATTTGGGATGAGGAACAAGTACCATCAGATTGGATAGCAGGATACCTCATCAAAATACCAAAGAAAGGCGACCTGAGCAAGTGTGAGAACTACAGAGGCATCACTCTTCTTTCGATACCAGGCAAAGTCTTCAACATGGTGTTGTTAAACAGAATGAAGGACTTCATAGACGCCAAACTTCGAGATCAACAGGCCGGATTTCGTAAGGATCGATCGTGTACTGACCAAATCGCTACATTACGGATCATTGTGGAACAATCAATTGAATGGAACTGACCACTCTACATCAACTTCATCGACTACGAGAAAGCATTCGGTAGCGTGAATAGGAAAACACTATAGAGGTTTCTTCGACACTATGGAGTGCCAGAGGAGATATTCAACATCATACGGAATTCTTATGATGGATTAAACAGCAAAATCGTGCACGGAGAGCAGCTGACAGACTGGTGATGACCGGTGTCACACAAGGTTGCTCACTCTCACCTTTTCTGTTTCTCCTGGTGATCGACTGGATTATGAAAACGTCAACATCTGGAGGGAAGCACTGTATACAGTGGACAGCCAGGATGCAGCTGGAAGATCAGAAGTTCGTAGATGATCTGGCTCTCCTATTTCACACGCAACAACAAATGCAAGAGAAGACGACCAGTGTAGCAGCAGCCTCAGTAGCAGTAGGTCTCAACACACATAAAGGGAAAAGCGATATCCTATGATACAACACAACATGCACCAACCAAATCACTCTTGATGGAGATGCCTTGGAGGATGGAAAAACCCTTACATATCTGGACAGCATCATCAACAAGCAAGGGAGATCTGATGAAGATGTGGAGGCGCGGATCGGAAAAGTAAGGGCTGCATTTCTACAACTGAACATCTGGAACTCCAAACAAGTATCAGGGGTCACCAAAGTCAGAATTCTCAATGCAAATGTCAAGAGAGTGCTATTATAATAGGCGGAAACCTGAACTACAAAAGCCATCAACCAGAAGATACAAGTATTTATTAACAGTTGTCTACGCAGAATACAATGGGCCTGTTGGCCAGAAACTATCATGAACAACCTACTGTGGTAGGGAACAAACCAGATTCCAGTGGAGGAAGAAATCAGGAAGAGGCGCTGGAGTTGGTGGATAGGACACACAATGAGGAAAGCACCTAAGTGAACCAAAAGACAAGCCCCCACTTGGAAACCTCAAGGTCAACGGAAAAGAGGAAGGCCAAGGAAATGGAGGCAGACGTGAGAAGAATGAACAAAAATTGAAAAGAAATGGAAGCCCATGACAGAATAGGTCGAGGAATACTGATCGGTGGCCTATGCTCCATCGGGGGTAAAAGGCGAAAGTAAGTAAATAAGTACTTTTAGCTGATGTCATATGTAAATGAATTTCAAAGTGATTAATCATTACAAAAATATAAGTTTTAATGATAACTTTTTAACAGAATGTATTTAATAGGAAAAAATTCTATTAACGAAAAATTGTCTTTTTATGTACGAAACACTACACAGTACCTAATCACTTTTCTGATTTTCTATTACCAAGCACAGGTTTTATTTACTCAACCTTGTATATCACTTTACTTGTGTAAGGGATAGTGATAATATTTATCTCACATCACCGAAGTACATAGAGGATAGTTCAAACCTGAGGCCAACTTGTCAAAAGCTGAATGCCTTAACGTTTGATGTAAATGTCATATTAAAGCACATACATTTTTCTATATTAAGTACTCACTAGTTAAGATAAAAGAAATCACTGGTCACTTGACCACAATGCAGAAATTGTTACTTCCTATACGTCATATGAATGATAAGTTTGCATCTAAAAAATTACTCATGTAACTGTGACCATTTTAATTTCAAATCCAATAACGCAAAAATATAAATACAATAGGTCAAAATACAGTGACGTCAAGTAAATCAGTGAATAATCAATATTATCTAAAGAAATTAATTAATAAACAAATGGTCTGTTAGTATAAATATTTCTTAATGTCCCCTAACTATTGTAAGGTTCCCGGTAGTAACTATTTGTAGTATTTGATTGACTTTAAAAAAAACAATGGAATTCAGTTACTTCAATACCGATAGATAATTTCAGTTCATATCAACTTCATCTAGAAAAAATATGAATATAATCAAATTTAAACCATCAAAATCGACCGCCCGATAAACACAAATGTGAAAGTAACAATTGACATTTTTGATAGGAATTTTCCGTGCTTGTTAAAATCCATCACTAATAAATATCTAGTTATAAACGAGCAAAAAGTTACAATCGACTGCTTTCAAAGTTTAACGTTGTGTTATTCAGGCAATCATTTCTGCCTTAAAAGAAGTTGAAATCATTACATTGAGTGCCATAAAATAAGATGTGGCATATTATAATATGTGCTAAACTACTGAATGGCAAACTGACTGAGATCTTAGGTAGGAGACTCGCCTGTTGATTTAGAATATGCCGATAACACAGTTCTATTCACTGAAGATGCTGACAAAATGCAGAGTCTTCTGACTACCCTGAGCAACAATGCGAGCGTGTTCGGGATGCGATTCTCCCCACCGTAATGCAAAATGTTGCTTCAGAATTGGCTTGCGTTGACACCTAAACTAGTGATAAGAAGTGAAGTAGTTGAGCGTGTTGACCGCTCCACTTAACTTGGGAGTCTCAACAGTGCTGATGACCTGGCGTGTGACGAAATCTCAGCACGGATACAGAAGGTTCGGTTGGCTTTTACCAACCCTCGTCACTCATGGCGTGGACGAGATATCCGTTTGCGAACCAAAGGACGAGTCTACTGTACAGTAGTTCGCTCCTTCCTACTATATGAATACGAAACATGACCGGTAAGAGTTGAGGATGTTCATAGGTTATGAGTATTCGATCATAGGTGCCTTCGAAGCATTGCTCATGTATCCTGGGACAGCCGATTAAGCGATGAAGTTGTTGTTAGGAAATGGGTACTAAGTAAGAATGACAGGTCAATAGATAAAGTATTGAAACGTTATCAGTTGACGTGGTTGGGATTCTACTTTCTGAATAATATCTTCGAACCCTAATCTCTCTGATTACTGCTAATACTTCTACTACCTCTACTAGTACGGGATTTGAATTGACAATCGCAACTATGCGCTAATGTGGTTTAGGAACTTGAACTGATGAATCTACGAAATTCTACGTTGTAACTGACCGACTGACTGATGTGCATACTTCAAATCATAAGAATATTGACTATTAACAGATATGGTACTTGTCTTGTTGTTAATAATAAATCATTATAAGGAGTTAAAATCCATGCGGTAAATCAGACAACATCAAATTTAATTTCGAGTGGTGGTTAGACTGACACTATGAAAATGCTTCATTCGCAAATGAAAACATACAAAATAGAAATGTATCTGGATTCTGATTTAGAGAACAGTCCATTGAGTTAGGATATAAGTCAATATTTTCTGATTAATTGCGAATAAAAATCAATATACACCTAACTGAATTTCTGAAAGGAATATCGTTAACAAGTAACAAAATTTCTATCATAAAAAACTCAGTCATCAAACATATTTAATAACCAAACAGAAAAATTCAATTGCAATTCGACTAAAATAATATTATTAAAAATATTATAATAATGGACGTTGAAAAAACACGATTTGAGTATACTGAGTTTATCGATGTAATGTTACAAGGTGAGCCGTAGACTTGTACGTACATAACCAAAAATAATAAGCTGGACAAGTAAACAAGCTTCAGATGAGTATACGAAATGAATGAGATATCAATGCAGTAGACGAAATTAACAAAAAAATATGGTCTTAATTGAAAGGAGCAAAGGAAAACGATCGAACATTTACGAAGATGTGGAATATAAAAAGACGGGAGGAGAGTAAATTGAGAGGAATAGTATGTCACGAAAAATAAACTAATTTATATATAACTCATACACTGTTAGACCATAATAATGATTCATAGTGGACAGAGGAGAAAAGTTAAAGAGTTTAGAAACCAAACATCCTCTGATAGTGTGTTTACATAATCAAATATTCACAGTATGAAAATGAGGAAATTGAAATTTCATACAATGTTACTCAACATACACTTGATCCAGAATACTTAACATCCTAATTTCCAGGATTAAAACTAAAGAAGAGAAGTGTTTAGATTATGAATGTGCCGCAAAATACTCAGACTAATTTCTTTTTGAGATACAGTTGTTTTTCAAAATACAAAGCACATAGTTTAGCAATTAAAATACGTGTTTTGATCACGAATACTGATGATCAAACAGTATAGAAAATAATTGTTATTATTATCATAAAGCTGTGTATTAATTCGAACGAAGGCGTGACCACACACATACTGAAAAATAGCAGTTAAAAATTAATCAAGTGAAGTTATCGATTGATCAACAATTGGCAAAACAAAAGAAAGGTAAAGCAGTGAAAACGCGAAATTCAACAATCAATGAGAAAAACAAATATAAGGGCATAATATATAACAAGTGAAAACATCACTAATATCTGATGGCTGTGTATCTTTATGCAGTGACATTTATTAAGTTAGTGCAGTTAGCTGTTATTTTAAATTGAACTGAAGCTGTATATATGTGAAGACAGTGAACTGAAAGTGAATGCATAACAATGGAACTGTAAACAAATACAAGCAGGTGTGTAATAGACATCAATGAAGGTTCATTATTAATGTTTCTTTTTTCTGGAAAACGATGGCATTCGAAAGCTTCCTTTCTTTTTGATTTTTTTCTCAAGAGTTTTACTCCCCTAGAAATTGATTCAATTATTAAAGGAAAAAACGATCATTATAACTGATTAAAGTGAAAAATCAAAAAGTCTATTAAATTTATATTCAACTACCATATGTTCTTTTGTTGAATATGAAACTTTATATGCTTAGATAAAATATAATCCCTAAAATTTCTGAAAACTAATCCGAAAGAAAAGCGAAGCGACAATTATCCTATCTCATACTATATTACCGAATTTAAACTAAAGCACGATAACACAGACATGAGGAAAAACAACAGCTTCATGACATGCTATACTACCAATATAAATACACAACTGTTGACCTTAATAAAATACGACCTAGCAACACAACAAAGATTTGTGAATACATGCAATAAAAAGTGAAAGTAAACTCAACATTATTATTTAAAAGATCTCCATCAACCGATTGAAGGGTATTTGAATTTGACATAACAGCTGAAAAGAAAAGTCATAAAAAGAACGCCAACATTATTATCGGTTTAAACATTTTATTCATATGTAAAAAAATAATATCCGAAAATTTATCTAATAATTTACCAATTGTCTTATCATGTAATGAACTCTGCCTAAAGCTCTTCTCGAACTATTATCAGTCACAAGTGTGGGCAAATGAGGAAAGCTGGATAAATAAAAAACTAAGGAGCTTCACTGACGCAATACAGAAAACCACAAAAAGCGCTAATAGAATCAAAATCCCATGGTTCAAAGATTACTAAACCAACCTTCAAAACAAAGAAATGAAGGAATACGCGGAACTTCATCTAGAGCTATCCACACACCGATGACAGTAAAGATGATCAAAACCAGTTTTATGGAATCTCGCAGTTCGTCCAACAGAAATGCTTCCGTAGTTAGTCAGTCAGATGCAACGTAGAACATCAGTTTAGGTCGCCATAGCACATCAGCACAGAGACTCAATTGTCAATTCAAATCCCAAAGTGGCAGAGATAGTAGGAGTACTACTGGCAATAGGGAAGATTAGGGTTCCAAGATATTATTCAACAAGTATAATTCAGAGATAAAATTAGAAAGAGGAAGATAGGGATGATGAGGAATTCAGGAGATTAGGATTTGGGAGAAGACAAACGATGGGTGCACCTGCACCATTGCAAACGATTTTGAGGTATGTCATTCAAGGTCTCTAACGATCTATTACTGTTGTCTCGTGGAGCCCAACCAGGTAGCCTACATCTACCAACATGACTGAGTCCACTTGTCAGTGACTTCGTGATTTCTGTCATGTTTTGGTTTGGCCGCCCCTAGCTTTCTCCCAACCTACTCCTACATCGCAAAGCATAGCTCGACGAGTCAGTTGGTGATTAGGCATGCGCAACACATGTCCCAACCACCTGTCATTCTTACCTAGTACCCGTTTCCTAACAACAACTGCATTGCTTAATCGGCTATCCCAGGATACATGAGCAATGCTTCGAAGGCACCTATGATCGAATACTCATAACCTATGAACATCCTCAACTCTTACCGGTCGTGTTTCGCATTCATATAGTAGGAAGGAGCGAACTACTGTGCAGTAGACTCGTCCTTTGGTTAGTATTAGTGGGACATAGATGGGATTAAAGCATAACTACGTTGCTACTCGCTGATTGGCTAATTTCCTATCCAATCAGCGCCTGAACGATTCTTGGAGAACAGGGTAGAAAATTCTCGTATTGTTAGCTGCATGCTGATTGGCTAGATCTAATCCAGTCGATCACGTGAATTTCTATCCAGAAGCTTCTCATGTAAATGCTATAAATAGACTAACGTTGTATCTATTTTTGGCCTTCACCTTCACCATCACCTTTAGCTTCTTGTTTCCATTTAACCTTGCTATTTGGAATATAATCTTTTCCTGTTCACCCGTGTTTTTGATTCTTGGGAACTTGTTCGGTGTATTGTGGTCAGAGAATACTAAACAACAGGATTAAGCTAGAAAATATTTAAGCGAACCGTTACAACAGTTAGCAAACGGATATCTAGTCCACGCCATGAGTGACGAGGGTTGGTAAAAGCCAACCGAACCTTCTGTATCCGTGCTGAGATTTCGTCACACGCCAGGTCATCAGCACTGTTGAGACTCCCAAGTTAAGTGGAGCGGTCAACACGCTCAACTACTTCACTTCTTATCACTAGTTTAGGTGTCAACGCAAGCCAATTCTGAAGCAACATTTTGCATTACGGTGGGGAGAATCGCATCCCGAACACACTAGCATTGTTGCTCAGGGTAGTCAGAAGACTCTGTATTTTGTCAGCGCCTTCATCGAATAGAACTGTGTTATCGGCATATTCGAAATCAACAGGCGAGTCTCCTGGTGGAAGTTCCACCCCTGAAAAGTCGGGCGAAGATAATGTTATATCTAGAAGCAGGTCTATGACAAAATCAAACAAGAATGGGGAGAGTGGACAGCCCTGACGGACACCACTTGAAGTAGAGAATTCCGGTGACAGTTCGCCATAAGCTTTCATTCGACCTGTAGTGTTCGAGTAGAGAGCTTGTATTAGGTTATCGTACTTCTTTGGTACACCTTTTAATGACAGACACCGCCACAGAACCTCACGATCGACAGAGTCAAAAGCTGCCTTAAGGTCCAGGAAGACGACTATTCTCGGACGTCTAAATGTGTGTCTGTGTTCAGTAAACACTCCATCGTCCACCAGTCAAAATTTGGATGGACAACACCGAGCATGCACGTAGTATGGGAACGACATGTGGTACCATAAAAAAACGAGGGTGGCGAGACACTGGCAAATCTATACGACGAGTGTGAAAGAACGCCAAAATAAAGAATGGATTCCTAGTAATACTTTGAGCAAGACTTTAGAAACCGTAAGTGACAGCAACCAACAGCAACAATCGGAAAAGAGTAGAGAGAAGCAAGGCAGCAAGTCGAGAACAAAGAAAACAAACTAATCGAAAGCTTGTTTGGATTTGAATCAACCGATTCATACAGCTACGTTGTCTATGCTATGAAAATTATCAATACACAGTTGAATACTTGAAAGAACATCAGGGTACACATAAAGCATTCGTGCTAACAAACACATTCAATGACGCAACCAAATATTACACACCACGGATCAGGCACTATTCCAACAGTTAGATATCAAACTCTCCACACAAATTATGAATTTAACGTTATCGCCGCATTGTGTTATCTAAAAAATGAGCGAATCTCAGATTTAGTTTATTCAGAGTTGATTCATAGACGAATACAGTCTAACCGTAGAGAAGGTAAAACAATCGAAGTAGAATAATTGTAAACTAAATTCCTAAAGTCCAACGATAATCTAACATTTAATCTGGAATCTTGAAAATAACAGATTTGACCCTGCAACAAAAAAATTTGTTTAAAGTCCCAGACGACAATGAACTAAATATTATACGAAAAATGAATGACTCTAAAATTTATATGAAAGGATACAAATGTATTGACAAGAAATTAACCAGTTTAATAAGGAACAACAGTAAACAGAATCAAAATAATATGCATGTCCAACAAGTATGTGACGTGACGAGTGAGAAAAAGAACAATCAAAATATAATTACTCCACTTACACATATGCTGTACATTGGCAGGTAATGTTGCACTCTTATTTACATAGGAATCGTTGAATCGTTTTTTAGGTGCTGGAAAAAAAACCAGGAGAATCGAAACAGATAAAAAGTTGAATGGCAGGTAAATGAAACTATTAATAGAAATGAAAAAGCTTCAAGAGATCATAAGAGTTCTAGTTGTAACAAATAATATTCTATTTAAATCGTTAAAATGAAGTAGTTTTTACTATAAATGGAGTGGAAATTTATAAACTTTCAATCACAAAACAGTGATGAGCAACACTGGTACATTCGCTGAGTTAATAAAATGCATTCAATGAACAAGTACTAAAACTTCTAATTCACATAACACAAGTATAACGTACTTTTAAGCTACAAGTTGAAATTCAAAATTAAAGAATACAGCTTCTAAACAAATCTTACTAATCAGAATTCGTGGCATATTAATTCGGAGTAAAAAAGTAAGGATCTATCGGAAGCAACAACGGCACATCTCACATAAACAAAAACTCACTTAGAAACATGATCGATGTAAATTAACAGGATCAACATTATTTATGATTCTAAAGAGATGTATGACTAACATTAAATAAACATTGGGACAGAAAGTGGTAGTATTAACACTTGCTCTACACATACTTCCTTTGAAAATACGTTACACTTACCGTTAAGAAAAAGGAATTCTGTTGCTAAATTGGTACAATAAAGCAAATAAAGAACATATGACTTTCTAGACCTGATGAATGATTGAGAGTGACTATTTAAGTACTAATATAGGCTACAATGAAATTTTGCATAAAACTAAACAGAAGTACAAGCTTAAACGATTTGGTGTACATAGTTTTAAAAATGTGTATTCAGTTGTAGTAAATTCATAAGAATAAGTGAAATAAAAAAATTTAAACTGATTGTGAATTGGGGAAAAAATGGTGATCTAACATTGATTGATCCACGATTTCAGTCAAACTCAACAATCTCCATAACCTTATAATGACAAAAAAAACAATAGTCGCACTGCATTTCATGAAGCAAGGATTATCATAGTCAAGACATGAATCATATAATTTAGGGTATTTAGCGTAATTCAAAACATGCCAAATCAAACAATATATAATGTATGATTGAAATTATCGAAAATCAAAATATGGTAAGTAATAACAAATCAAGCTTACTTAAACTATTGGATTCCGTGGTGTTTACTGAAGTTGAGACTGAACCGTTGTGAATTGAGTAGTCAGAAACATCATGAGGACTTCGTATAACAGGAGAATGGAAATCGCTTCCTAACTGAGGTGATTTGTTCCCATGTTCATATCGTCTAACAGGTGAACAAACAGACGAATCCAAAGTGAATGGATGCGAACGACAGTCACCTGAACTTTTTGTTTCAGACAATTTCAGAGGTGATCCGATCATAGAGCTGGTTACTTTATATTTTTTAAGTAAATCCACAACATAATAGGTGATATATCCATTAATGACAACAGATGTTATGATTTTGAAAGTAGCATGCAAAGACAGAAGAAATCAAAAGATAACAACAGCTACAAAAATAAGGACGATAACAAAATTTCCACTCATAAACAACGTAATGATTTACATGCAAATAACAGAATTATACGAAAAATTATATTCCGAGGTACGATTTCGTCACATGCAAAACAAATGAGGATTGTGAGGTTATATTTTAATTAAAATGTAATTACTTACCCATACCGTTTTGAGATGGTTCATTAGTTTTTGCTAACCACTGATTTCGTTGTGCATTCTTTTGACGACTGGCACGAACATGATCAATAATTCTAGAATAAAAGGTAAACATAAACTAAAACGTAAATGATTAATTCACCGAAACATATCTATAGCCAATTTGAAAAGAAATAGTTCTGATAATCAATAGAACCACGAGCAAAAATATTTCATTATAGTAACTTATGATAAGAACCATATGCGAGAACATACAAAATGACTTGAGCAAGTAACCACGCTTCAACTGTTGATACAGATCCTTGTTAAATTTTAAAACTTCATATATATATATATATATATATATATATATATATATAATAACTTGAGCTAATAACAATCTAAGCTCTTTGTGAATGACCAATTTCGAAAATCAATCATGCACCAGGACATGTCTGTGTAACAGCAATTTCAGATTACAATAAAATAAATTTAGCGAATGGAATTCGGTGAACAAACAGTAACACTAACCTAGACATGAGAATAACATTCGGAAAAGATCTACATAGGCAACTCTTACTTATAGTGAACTTTTTAGTGATGTTCAAAATATGATAATGACATTAATTGTAAACTATTGCGAAAATCAGTCAACATAAGAAACTAACTTGGCCACTTGTTCAGCGCCCGCTGCTTCAGCTGCAGCTATATCTTCAACCCCACTAAACTCGTTGGTTGAAAAGTCCGTTGTCAGTAAATCAGCCCCAGTCATTTGATCACCATATGCATCACCTTGCCATGATGAACCAGGATGTGTGCGCCTCAATAAATTAGGTTGCCGATAAACATGGCCAGTTCTGAAACCTGCGCTATCCAAGACACGCATTTCAGCCTCAAATTCCAATTCAGCTGGTGTCCATGAATTATCTGTTATTAAAATAGAAACCAAATTGTATTTACAGTATCAATGGTCTTGAGAAGAAATTGAAAATGTTTTATCCTTTTATTGCACAGTAATTAAATAGCAAATTTTTAGTATTTTCATTTCTGAAATTTTAGACCACAATGATTTGCCATTACTAAGAAAAAGTGATCTAGGTTTGCGTTTCGATAATCCTAATTTTCTTATGTGCTCAATGTTTTGTGACTGACTTCAGATTTTTTTGTTTGTTGTTTCGGCGGACACTGATGTGTAGCGAAGAGTGGATACCATCTATAAATATAGTGAAATAATATTTTTGATGACTGCTTATCCGACATATAATGCTTGGTACGGCTCAGAATTCAGAGGCACCACTCAGACACAATGTTATTGGAACACTAGTCAGTGGATTCACAAACATTAACTTGTGAAGATCAAAGTTCGATAAGAATAAGACTGTTTCACTTACAATGAACAGTAACTTCTCAAGCAGAAGAATAATGACATGTTGGACGGCATATGTGCCAATGTGGTATGACAACTTAGTTGATGTACGTACGTACCAAATTCTACGCTGCTACCGACTGGAAGACTCAAGGCGTATCTAAGACAAATAACTCGAAGGAGATCAAGGGAAAACAAGACTGTATACGGACGTGAAAGTATGAAATGAAAACAAAGAGAAAAGATCTGGCTGGTTTTAAAATTGCGAGTACTGACATACCAATTTTAGAACCACATACGCTGCAGGCAGTTAACTTACCACCACTATCACTACCACCTTTCCCATTCAATGACGTATAATCATTTTTTTCTCGGTCTAAGGTATCTGACTGTACTTCTTCTGACTGATCAGCTTGACCATCTGTTAGTGGAACAGGACTATCCTTTAAATCAGACAATAAATTTGTAATATTGCCTAGTTGCATCAAGCGCATCTGCAAAGTAAAGTAAAATGGAAAGTACGATTCATAATTGTGTAAATCAAACTTTATCAACAGTGTTCGTGTATAGCGCTTTCACAAGGTCTATATTTACCTACAGTACATCTTTTAATGACAAACATTACCACAGAGCCCCTTGATCAGCAGGGTTAAACGCCGCCTACAGCTCAAGAAAAACATAACGATGGTAAATGCGCGATTAATACATTTATATTATGGTATGAAACCTGCCTCGTTTCCTCAAATCTGTTGTTTTTGAATAAAATTACGTTCTGGAGGATTATGGAGGATATTTTAGGCACTATACTGATCAAACTTCTTCCTCCGTAATTTCACGAGAGGATTTCAATTATCTTTTATGAAGTTGGACATATAGTGATCGAAACTAATTAGATAATACTGCATCTAGCTCCCAAATTTTAGCTGGTGTTTCAGTCAACCTAAAAGTGAAATACCATTTTACAGACCTTCAAAGTTATTATATTTCGCCGATTTCACTCGCTTGAAGTTGGACATAGTCCCTTCACTAGTGCTAAAGCTGTTTGGGAATAAGGAATAACCATAAAGTAATCAGAGAATAGTTGGAACTTCTATTTATGTCTTGCATATTATCTTACTCTCCTGAGGTTTCACTAACAGCTGACCTGTTTTATGTTTTTATCTAATGTTACCTATACCTGCTGTACTTTCCATAACTTTTGTTTTCGGAAAATTGAATGGGATGATTCGCAGGCTGCAGGTAACTAAAGATTTACTACATTACTTTTTGGTGAAAAATAGTGTAAACGCTTACAAAACATTGTTAGGGTAAATAACTTATTTAGATAAAGTCCAGTAGCAAAAATGGATATTGACTTACTTGGGTTTGACAAGCAGCTACTACGCGTTTAACGAGATACCATGCTTCGGGTATACTGGATGCAGTAACTGCCACACCATGATTTCGTAAAAACAGCACCTTTGCTTTAGGGCCCAAATCTTTCACAATGCTAGAACGTTCTGTCTCATCCACCAGAATACCTCTGTACTCATGATAGCGGACTCCATGATTTGATAACAGTTCAATAGCCTCGGGACTAACAGGCATGAGTCCCGCGCGAAGGCATGAGACCTATAGTCAAAAACTTGCTATCAAGGTTTAATCGATTTATGAAACTGTTTTAATAACCAAGACGAGTGTACCAAACGTTTACTTGTGCCAACGATCTCTTAGCTAAGGTTAAACATACTTCAGGAAAAAAACTATAAGCGAATATGATCCGTCATTTACATCCGAAATACAAAATCTAATAAGATTTTGTTAACCACAGAATGAATATATATGACATAAATAAAGCGACTTTTTACTATCTAAATCTTTTATTTTCAGAGAAATATGCCAAATAAATCAAATATTTTCCCCTTTTTGATAAATGTGAAAAGTGAATTTCTTTATAGGTAACAAATAGCAACGTAGCTTGATTATATGATTAAACTTGCTGTGAGTTTGTAATGGAAGATTTTTATGAGCAGCTTACTCACCCAATCGAGCATAGGCTACCGACCAGTATTTACCAACCGCCTTCTTTTCCAGATTTATCCAACTGCTGTTCACTCCTTTCATGTCTACTTCCAATTCTTGGCGTAATGTATTCTTTGGTCTTCCTCTTGTCCTTTGAACTTGAGAATTCCAAGTGGGGGCTTGTCTTGTGACGCAGTCGGATGCTCTTCTCAATGTAGTGTCCTTTCCAGCTCCAACACCTCTTCCTAATTTCTTCCTCTGCTGGAATGTGGTTTATTCTTTCCCACAATAGGCTGTATCTTGCGTAGACAACCGTGAATATACAATGGAATGATGGCTTTCGTGGTTCTCCAAGTTTCCGTCTCATACAGCAGAATCATCTTGACTTTCGCATTGTAAATTCTGACTTTCTATATCTTCCAAATGAGCAGCTTAATAAAAGTATATTACGCTGTATCAGGTGAGTTTCAATAGTGATTAAATGCTTCCTCTAACGAAGTGTTTTTTGAATATGATTTGTGAATGGATTTGAAACTACCAACAATAAACGAATCCGCAAGATTATTGATCATACATTCTTTACCAGGATTATTTCTAATCTGTTATGTGCAGTCAGTCGATTAAGTGAGAATGAGATATATGGCTCGATTGGCATGCCAAATTCACATTTGATGCATCAAAAATTTGTGTATGAGATTCAGAGAACTGTTATTGTTTTGAATGTGTTAGAAATCCTAACAATTAGAATGAAATTTAAAGACTGAAACTGAACGAGCAGACAAGAACTGGCTTTAATAAGCCAGTTATTATCAAAGGGAAGTGTGTATCTGTTTCAGCTTTCACATCTCATGTCTGCACAGAGAGAGAAAATGAGAAACATGAAATTCGGTTTGGAAGAAAAAATGTAACTGAAAGATGGAAAACTAGGAAAATGAACATCCCAGCGGAGAGGTCAGTGAAAGCTAAGCGAACGTTTTGTATTTGAGTAATTTCCGCAATACCAAAGTTGGTGTGGTCTCCAAGATGAGAAATGTAGTCAATGTGCTGCACTACTTCATTTCCAATGAAAAAACTAGGCACTGACACAAATCAGTCTTAAATATATAGGAAAATCCTTTCTTCAGTGTCGCAATATACTCAATATATGAAACCAATAATTAGAACCGGATGATTCAAATAAGTAAGCAAGAATTAGACAGTACCCAAGGAAATATCTCAGAGCTTATGTCAGTAAATTACTACTCTAGTGTACGATTAAACTAATCCTCCACAACAAGCCATATTTGTCGGTCAGTGGTATATGATAGTAGGTACCTTCGAAATGTTGCCCATCTATGCTGGGACCACAGGGTCAGCATTGCTGAGGTTAGACGCAGTGTTAGGTAAAAATGATGAGATAATGAATTTTCATCAACTGAGACCGTTGATATGTGTGACGTAAATGATCGACTTCCGCTAGTGTGTGCTGGCAAAAGAGTAGGATAGAAAAAGCTGGAAGCAGTCAAACCAAGAATTGACATCAGTTCACGAAGCCGTTGACTGAACTCCCCGATTGAAAGGAAAGGAAGAATGTCCGACGTAATTCTCACTTCATATTAACTTTAACAATCACTACTTCCCGTATTGCTTTCATTTGCTTTCAATATTATTGATAAACGAATGCTTACCTTGTGTGCAGTGTTGTCTGACCCTAAACTCACAAATTAACAACTGGAAAAGTCTATATGATTAGTGACTAGTGTTAGCAAGGAGTTGGAGAAAAAAGAGTGATATTTGAAAGATGCTTGAAATAAACGTTTCAATGTTTTAAGCTTTTAAATACAACCAGTGATATTTCAATCTACATAACATATTTGCCTCTTCATTTTTCATGAGTACTAAAATGGACTGTGAAAACTCAGTGAGTTATAAAACTGTAGTTGATTTTATCTTATTCATGTTAATCTACTGTTTTCATTGTAGGAAATGTTTGGTTGAATTACATGATGCGATAAAAACGACTGAAATTGGAAGTATTTACTTAAAATCAAAACAAAATAATATACACAATCAAACCACTTACTGCAATTACATCAGCTAAATGAACGTGAACAATGCAGTTAACAGATTTACGAGCTGAGTGTAGCGCAGAATGAAGAGTCCAACCAGCCTTATTTACACCTAACACCGAACTGCCTTGATCAATTATATTGCCTGGAATAGGTAAAAAAAGATGTCGATAAAAAAAATATTTCTGGAGTAAAATCATTTATGCTATAACTATCGAAAGATAGTTAAATAAAATCCAGAACACTCCAAGACAGAAATAAATTAAGCACTACAGCAACGACCGTTCAAGAAATGAGAAACAAAATTACATGGTTAAAAATAATGTCCTACAAGTAAGATAATCATTGATGAAAAACTAAAAAAAGTAGGCACTTTAGACAAATAGACACAAATCAAAAGCAACTTCGGAGTTAATATAAAACGAAAAGATAGAAAAAGAGGGTAAAAGCTACTTTGATATAAATGAATAGTTCACAATCTATCTTGTTACATAGATATTTATACCAACCTAGTAAATACAGACGAATGAAACTAGAGTAAGATAGTATAGTGCTTTGTATGCATTTATTTTTTTATTTTTACGCATGACAGTAAAGCAGAATCCCTATGTTTACTGAAAATATTTATAGCATTATTGTGATTGAAAACACAAAATGTAACAAAAGGTAACCCGTCACTATGAACTCAGAAAGCAAAGAATTCGTTCAAAAACATAAAATTTTCGATATGTGGTTACACTAAGTCCAAACAAATGAAATGGTTTGACAGTTACGGTTACAGTAATTAACAGTCAAACTCGTATAATTAAGATCGCCTTACTGCACATGACCACATAATTCTCAAAAATCAGTGATTTTACCTTTTTTAAAAATATTTAGAAAACAGTACAAAACGGATTTTAAATACTGACGTAGAGTAGGGTATAAGTCTGAAAACATTATAATTGTAATTCTCCATTTTTCATACTAAATGCATATTCAAAAAGTTTTTTTAAACATATGCTTATCTGGAGACCTTAAGATTACGGCCTCTGTTTTCACTAGGATCGATGTTGCACTACGTATTAGAATGGGACAACACTAATCAGTCGAATTCCCATTATCTGCTGTCATATTAGGGGTGTATATCAAAGTGGAAAACCGGCGCTGAAGACCACTTTTCAGTAAACGCTTATGTTTATGAGTTGTAACCTGGATACAAAAAAATGTGTTCCGTCACTAATTTATTGATCTTTTCAAAAAAGCGTATATGTGTCAGGTTAGAAACTACCGTAGTGTAAGCAATTGAATCATCTAACTCAGTAGGAAACAAATAAAATGAACCTAATGATGCACAAAAATTCGTGAGTACTGAGAAAGATCTCTAAGTACTAGGTGGACTTCTCATCATACATGTTTAAACGATAGAAATGGTTTTACCAACGACCCTTAAAGCTTTTTCCGAATGCGAAGAAAAGATGGTCATTTATTGCCAAATAAACAATAGTGAAATTTTTATCAAAATACTCACCATTTACATCTATTTTTACTAAACTAGAGGCTTGAATTTCATGATAAAGTAACCCGAAAGGATTGATTAAGAAGTGATTGGGATTTGTGGTGCACCTTGCCTAAAAACAAAATAAAATCAATATTATTTAGCTGCAATAAACATTCAAAATACATTTTACTTGCAAGCGATATCTAAATAAATTAGTTATATATACCACATAATGAACATTGACAACTTGAGACAATCGTGATGTAGGCGAGATATTTGCCTACAAACCAAAGGGTGAGTTTATTACGCAGCAGTTTGCCCCATTCTACTTTATAGCTGTGAAACATGATCAGTAAGAATAGAGGATATTCGTAGGTTACTAGTATTCGATCATAGGTGTCTCCAAAGGATTGTTCGTATATCCTGGGACCACCGATTAGGCAATGCTAGGGGGGTTAGGAAAAACGTACTAGGTAAGGTTGGCAAATTAGTTGAAGTAGTGAATCTTCAGATGAGGTGGTCGGGACACGTGTTACGAATGCCCAACCACCAACTGCCTCGGCGAGCAATGTTGTCTGTTGTAGGGGTAAATTGGAAGAAAGGTAGGGGTTACCAAGCCAAAACATGGCACAAATCCATGGAGTTACTGATACCTGGACTGGACCACGTTAGCAGGTGTAGACTACCCAGTTGAGATTCACGAGACAATCGTAACCGGTCGTTAGGGACTTTGAATGACATGGCTCAAAATCGTTTGCAATGGCGCAGGTGCATCCATTCTTCGTGTTATCGCAAACTCTAATTTTCTGAATTCCTCATGCACTTTTTTAATTTTTGAACTTATTTCACTAGATTATACTTCTCTAACCGTATTTTTGATCCCTAATCATTCCGATTGCTGCTAATAATGCTAGAACCTCTACTACTATGGGATTCGTACTGACAGTTTCATCTATCTGTGTTAATGCGATATGGCAACTTGGAGTGATGTACGTACGTAGCAAGTTTACGTTGAAGCTGGCTGACTGACTGACCATTGATAAATTAATAAAAAGTGACCCAAAATTTGTTTCACTTGTGAAAAAATATTTGCAAAGCACCGGCATCTGTCAACCCATCGCGACTCCTTGACTGAAGTAACAGAAGTGATGCAGCTCAATAACATTATTAGATATGGTCCATCAAAGTCGACGGAAACACAGGTGTCGTTTCTTTTTATACTATTCATAGAAGAGAAATTTTCTCAATCGAAAAAAAGTTTCTCTACATAGTATTTTTAACTAAACTGCATTTATTATACACAGTTTTCTTTGTTTTCGTTAAGTATGCTTTCTTTTCTCTATTGTTTTTTCCGAAATGCATTCTATTTTTGGTTCCCAGCACAAGATTAGGTAAAATAAGATGAATCTTTTTTAATTAACGGTGTTACATAGACATGAGTACATATCATAACAAAGGAAGATAAACAAACAAATGATGGACCATATTCGAATGTGACTCATAAAATAGATTTACATATAAAAGTATGACCGACCAAATGCCGTAAAAAACACATATCTAGTTTATTCAGGTTCGAAGACTATGTAATCAGACATAAACACTAAAATTCAAGTTGCTTATCAGCTTATGATAAAACGTTACAATTCGTAATACTGACTGAATTGTATATGAATGTATATGAATTGTGTAACTATACACTGCTGATTTCATCACATACCAGCTTATCTAAAAAATGACCCTTTGTAATACTTAGAAGATAAAACATAGTACTGATTACTTACAGATATATGATTGTAAATTGAATGCGTCCACCCCCTCATATCGATCAAACGATACAGAGCAGCCAAACTACGTCTCAACACACAATCCTCTCGAGAATAAGCAGCTGCTTCTTCGCCACGGAGATCATTTATTGGTATTGTTGGAAGGCTACCTAATAGGCACGGTTAACAGTTGAAAATAAGATTTACACAAAACTATTTTGACAAATATTACGGAGTTATGAGACCAATGGAAAACTGTGAGTTCAAAAATACAACAGAACACCAGAACAACATAGACAGTCACTTACGCTGATAAACAGTACCAACTGATTTGAGTACTTCTAGAAGATAGGTATATGTTGAACAAAAATATAAATAGATATTATGTTCCATTTTGTCAAAATAATAATATCAAATTAGTTTCTAATGAATAAAATCAAGTCTAAATTGACACGTTTTATTTAGACCTTATCCTTAAGTAATACGAGGATAATAATGAAGCATCATAATCCGGTATCTCAAGCCAAAAAAAATGATAATAAACAACTGAGTCCCCTTGAACAGTGAACAGACAGTAAACAGAGATCGGATAACTACATCTGTGGATTGAACCATTTAAACGAATTATGGTGACAAATACATAAACTCCACCTGAATTCTGCAAATGGACAAATGTAGTTTGAATATTGGAGTCATTGAAATACAGGGTTTCAATAAGTGAATCAACTCTTGATGGTTCAAATACTGAGTTTAACAGATATAGAATATAGACACTACTGTAATTGTACACCTGGTTGCCTCTATATTCACTCAGACTACTGTTTATTTACAACTTGACAAAGATCATGCCTGCAGATCGAATCCAAATGAAATAGGAAACTTTATGGAGTATGCCAGAAAAACACTAAAACAGAGACCGATTATAGTACACATGGACCCCAACTAATTCAACAAGGGATACGTCACATGCGAGTAGTGAGCTTACCCAATTAGAAGTACTTCTTAAGACAGACCTGCAGCGAAGCTTATTCTGACAGTTTATGTCAATAGGACTAGCACAAATTTACCTTTTGTGTGAATAACAGAAAAATATTTTTTAATCACTTTTAACCAAGGAATTACTCTCTTAGCTTTTGTAATAAGTGAACCAAGATACTGCATGATATGCATCGACAAATCTCATTTTATGAGCATTTGTATTTGTTATTCATAATACAGTGAATAAAACTAGTGCTCGGATACTATATTTGTGAAGTACCACAAACCAGCGTTAACTACTCCACTACTAAGATTGCGAAACTAATGGGCCGAAACAATTTACTAGATACAGTCAAACATTTAACTCCCATTTTAATGACTTTAGGTGTCTAAATAACCTTTAGCTCGGTTAGAAAACGCATCCAAGTAACTCGAGACATCCAGATGTTGTACTAGATTGCCTGACGATACGGAAGTTGATATTAAGTCTACCGGACGATAATCTAGTCGAAATTTCTAACTAGCACTAGTCATTATGAACGTATTACGTCAGTTAGGCTGAAAAAAACCTATCACTGAAGCAAGTGCCTGTGCCATCAAGTTTCTAAAGTTACCGAATTAGGATGAAAACAAGTACATCTAGACTAAATGCAAAAACTCACCTTTTAGGTCAGCCACGTTTTCCAGTCTCATAGTTTGCCCAAGAAGACTCGATAACTGTTGAAGAGCACCACCTTGCTTATAAGTGTTAGTCATATTTTTAGTAGAGCTTATATTCTTTCCAGTACTGTGATGATTTGACATACAATTCTTCAGATTTACACTAACGTCTTCGTCACTCAGACCTAGTTTGTTCGAATATTAGTATGATAAACTACCAGATAGACAGTTATCGCTGAAATCTGTCATTACAATCTATTGCCAGATAATCATTAAAATGGTCAAAGTAATAGACGTGAACTAAGTCCCTGAATTTGATCCCGATGAAGACCCAACGACGACCTAACACAAGATTAACGATACAACTGGAAAGACGCGCCCACAATATTCAGTTGCGCTGGTTTAAAACAACCAAAAAAAATTCTGGAGACAACAATAAGCAAAACAATGGACTGTGTGTTGAAGATACAAATTTATAGTGAAATTAGCTTGGTTAGTCGGTACTAATGTTCTATTACTGAAATATCAAGCAGAAACTATGTGAGATTACTGGTCGATAGACGTTAAAGCAGTTTGAAGATATCGTAGAAGTCAGGGGTGTTTGACGTAGAAAGATCAATAACTGGTATGCTGTAATCGGCTCCCAAAGCACATTTTTCATTTTCATTCGCTTCATTTTCCAACTGATCACTCACGTTATAAAATTCTATTTGTTCTGATAGAAAATTATATTACCATCACGATGAACTTATTAAGGATATGTGTGTGAGTTAAGCAAATCGGTCGATTCCTCAGTTCCCATTTGCATCTGGCGGACCCACCGCGAGACTAATGAGTAGTAGATTCATTATGAACTGAATGAAATGCCAGCTTTGTAGAATTAAGACAAATTTTTATTACCACTTTACATCACTATATGTCCCTAGGCCTTTACGCCATAGGAAATCCAGTACTGTTGATCCGGACTGTTCTCACTCTGATATGTTCATTACCTCGGATGACTTTACGCAGACTGAGCAACCGCAAAACAATTGTAGCAAGTCTGTTCACTATCCTATTCACCTTAACAGCTGCGAACTGAACTCCAGTACATTCGCCACTAATAGTTCTAAGGACACCTTAAGTGCATTCGATGTCCACCAAATCATTCAGGATTTGCTACCTTACAAATACCTGGTCAGTGTTCCAGAAAATCCTGATCTCGAAATCATTAAAAAAACCAGAAATGGTAACTGACCATATATCCTCTGAAGTGTTAAAATGACTTCAGTGCATTCAGAATGCCATTGATTATAACGTACCTGACAGTGCTAGCCTAAACTCTGTTAAAAACACTCTCCTTAAAGAGTGTGGATTGTCCCACTCTTGGTGTGTAGCACGCGGGCTGGGCAAAGTTCAGACCAAATTTTCCTGTCCCATTCTTCTTCAATTTAGTACTGTCATGGAAACCAGTCACTTCATTAATAGTCAGTCACTTCTTAAACACATTCCACTATTTAGTAAGATTAGAATTATATGGGATAGAACTACAATACCAAAGACCTGTCCCCTAAATAAAAGTGCTGCAACTTGTCCCGTAGTCGAAAGCGCATCTACATGTAAACTACAAGTCAATCGCACTTCTGTAATATAAAAACATTGTCCTAAAGATAAAGGGACAGACCTAGTGGTTCGATATTCTCACATGAAACGTGCTACTTGCCCTAACCGTCAGTCTTCAGTACTTAACCTACCTAATAAGCAGCAATGCCTGCCCCCTACCTCTCCTACTCGGGACGCTACTATACTTCTAAAATTAAACCCTAGGACTCCTAAGAATACGGACACTCATACCATAAATACCTCCCTAAACTCTAACCGTAGGCGCCTCCCCGTTTCTAACCCAAAGCCTATACCCTTGATTGTATTCAAAAAGACTAGGATGCCTAGAGTTGCTGAGATAACTCATAACTTTAGTCTGCTTGGGCATCCGCCTAATGTTCCTAGACACCACCCTAGCCGAAATACCTTTTACAGTTCTTCGGTCTCTCCAAAACATGCACCTTACCCTTTTTTATCTCTCACCCCCTAAACAGAGTTGTTTTACTACCTCCAGCTGTTGAGGGCAATATTTCCTCCAATATTTCCAATGGACCTACGAAACAATCCATCCTTATGCCCCCTATCGAATTCCTCATCTGTTCTTTGGGCGTCATCAGTTAACTCTGCCGAACGACACTTTTCATATCCTACCTCACGTGCTTCTCTCACCATGCCTGTCTCTGAATACCTTTCTTCCTTTAACTATTTCGCTCACAAATTAACTGACCATAACAATCAAGCCTATATTCCTACTTCCAGCCCTTCTTCAGAACACACAACATACAACCCTCCAGATGCCCATCGTGCATCCCTGAAAGTTGAGTATTCATCGTATGTAACACTAATGCTAATTAATTCCCGATCTGTTATCAATAAAATACTGGTTGGATGCATAAATCG